CGCGCCTAGAGCCCGTGCTCTGCAACAAGAGAAGCCACCGCAATGAGAAGCCGGCGCACCACAACGAAGAGTAGCCCGCGCTCGCAGCGCCTAGAGAAAAGCCCGCGCGCAGCAAGGAAGACCCAACGCAGCCAAAAATAAATAAATAAATAAATTTATTTTACAAAATAAAAAATAAAAAGTGTGGCCCTGTTTCCTCATATTCTTTCCCCATGTCCCTGCCTTGGCCTGTCACCCCTGAAACCCACAAGGGAAGCCTTCCTTGTCTCTCCCAGCTTTTGGTGCTTTGCTGGCGATCTTTGGCATTTCTTGGCTTGTAGATACATCACTGCAGTCCTCCGTCTTCACATGGCTGTCTTTTCCTTCTGGCATGTCTGGGCACGTCCAAATGTTCCCTTTATATAAAGAACATTTTTATAAGGAACATGTTTACAGTCATATTGGATTAGGGCCCACCCGATGACCTCATCTGAACTTGACCATCTGCTAAGACCCAAATGAGGTCACATTCACAGGTCCTGGAGTTTGGACTTCAGTATATCTCTTTGGGGGACAGAATTCCACTCATAACACCCCTCCTTTATTCCACCCTCCATGTGGCAGCCCGAGGGGTAAAGCACAAACCGACTCTGTCCTTTGTCTGCTCAAAGTTCTTCCAAGATAATGGGATATTATCAGCCCTAAAAAGAAATGAAGCACTGCCATGACACGGATGAACCTTGAAAATACTATGCTGAGTGAAGGAAGGCAGACACAAAAGACCTCGTATTGTATAATTCCGTGTATAAGAAACGTCCAGAACAGGCAAATCCACAGAGCCAGAAAGTGGATTGTGGTTGCCTGGGGTTTCGGGTTGGGGAGGGGGAATCGGGAGTGACTTTTGGGTGTGATGGAAATGTTCTAGAATTGATTGTGGTGATCGATGCACAACTCTGTGAAGATAAGAAAGTCATTGAACTACACACTTTAAATTGGTGAATTGTATGGTATTTGAATTATATCTCAATAAAACTGCTATCAAACAACTTCCCTGGCTCCCCAGCGCTCTCTGGAGGGATCCCGGCCTCATTGCCCGGCCCCACGTTCTGATGCATCCGCGCGGGATGACCCCACACTGTTGTGGACACGTAACACAAGAGGCTGCAAAGCCACACACAGAAGACACTGCCATGGACACATATAAGGAGGCCCCCAGTTATAAAGACCCACTTTGCCACACGATCCCACCCAGACACACCCCCAGACCGTACCAGGTGGCCCAGTGTTCTCGCCCACCAACCCAGCCAGACACCAAGGTGGCGTCTGTCAGGGATTCTGTCAGCTGTTGAGTATGTTTATCTCAATTGGGCATTCCAGAATTGGGGAAGTTATCACAGGATGGATTCGGGGATGCCCTGGGCCCACGGTGAGACGGACCTGAGTGGGAAAAAAACATTAGTCATCTGATCTCCGTGAGCACCCCGTCTGACTGGTTGGCCACATTGAAGTTTGGGGTCTTTGGGAATCAGCATGAGTTCAGAGCCGGTGTCTGGCAGTCCCCGAAAGGTCTGATTATTTCCTTTTTCCCAGTGCGCAGTGACCCTGGTCAAAGGCCCTAAGTCCCTTTGGGGAAGACCCGTAGAAAGATGAACAGTATGAATTTTGGGCAGTGTACTGGGGTCCTTCCTCGAGGGGACCCGGCCTCCCCTCATTCAAGGGGCCTTGGCTCTGTAACCTGGCTCAAGCCTGGGGATTGATGGAGGGCCCGTGACTCTCTGGTTTTAGGATTCAGGTTAGACTTTGGTTCACTAGACCCAGAACTCTTCCGCGTATGCAGACCAAGCCAGAACTTAGTGGAGAGGACATCTATTTCCCTCCTAGGAGCGCCATGATCAACTCCCAGCGCCATGGTCTCTTCTGATTGTTGTTTGCGGGACTGTCCTTTGTGGTGGCCACGCCCACCGCGTGGTGGTGGCCACGCCCACCTGGCCTTCGGCGGCTCAGTGCCGCGTCTTAGCCCCTGCCGTCCCCGGATCGGATGATCCCACTGCACTTGTTTCCCAGTTCAGGGGCGGCCACCGTGAGGTCTGGTCTGCAGAGAAGAGCGGCCGTGGAGACACAACCAGGCTTTGGACATACGCAAGGTGGTCCCCAGTTATAAAGACCCACTGTCTTGTAGTCATGGACACGCACTCACACGGAGACATACAACCTATGAGGCACAGCGTGACAGCCACAGCCCTTCCTCGGTGACATACGTCCCATTCAGTAGTAGGCTCGGCGGCGGACACACTCCTGGAGGTGGCCGCTACACCGATGCCCCTCCCCACAATGGCACGTCGACCCCAGCATCCTAAGTCCATGGCCTCAGCAGTCATGCAATTGTCACACACACGCACATGCACCAACCCCGGTGACCACCTGGCCCTGCCATCCAGCCCCACACGGGCCACCCTGCAGACCCATCAGAGTCCCCGCCTCTCTGCCCCTTCCACTCAGCAACACCAACCCACTGCACAGGCAGCCTCACAACTCCAGGTTCAGCTGGTTCCTCACCCCAGGAAGTGGGGGAGGTATTTTTAGTTACAATTAACCTCCCGCCCAGTTTCTCTCCTCCCCCAAGGCACAGCCAATTGATTTAATTAGAGAGGATTAAATGAGAGGTATTTTCAACCAGGTGGGGGAGGGGGAGAGGAGAGCTTCCCCTCCCCCACCTGCCAGTGTCCCTTTGCCAGCCAGGCCAGGTTGCAGGAATACAAAGCCCTTCCCTTGATGTAGACCTCAGGCCTTGGCCCAGCCCTGCCCCCTCCCCCATAACCCTCCCCCACCCGCCTTTAAAAGTGGGGAGAAGAGGTGTCAGAAGTCCTTCTTGCTGTATATCCCTCGTCCATCCCACTTCAGTCCCCGGGAGTTTGGGGAGAGACAAACTGTAATCATAGTCACCAAAACAATTTGTAACTCAGAAAACAATCGGTGATATAGGCCCTTTAGAAATCATAGACTCTTAGAATTCTATTTTTAAAAATGAGGGGTTGTGAGGCAAGTGGTTAGCTCACAGCCTGCCTGGGTTCTAATGGGAACAGCCACTCTCCAGCTCTGTGACCCCGGGCGAACGATTTCACTTCTCTGGACCTCAGTTTCCTGATCTGGGAAATGTGGCCAGTGATCATACCTCCTCCTGGGGCTTAGTGGTAAGCGTTTACCAGATCGATAGGTATAAACCTCCTGGAACAGAGCCTGGCACAACACGAACTAGAGAAAGGGTAAATAAATGTGTAAAAGAGGCACCTGTACTCCCATCCCTACCCTGCTCTGCTTTTTATGACACTGTCAGCTTCTAACAGACTAAATGATGTGCTCATTTATTTGGCCCATCGTGGGTCTTCCCCACTAGGACGTCCGCTCCCCCAGGGCAAGGTCTTGGGTTTGTTCACTCAAGTGCAGGGACGAGCAGAGGGTGCGTGTCCAGGGCATACCCGTGGCCAGGAGGAATGAATGACGAGGTGAAGGCGGCTGAGTCTCAGAACTATGGAATTTCTTCCTCCGTTCTCCACCTGTTTCCCAGGCACCTGCTGGGTATAGGGTGCTTGCTGTCTGAGGCCCCAGGTCACCACAGTGACAGAGAGGGACAAACTCCTGCCTTCTGGAAGTGCTGAGGTTCCAGCCAACAATGAATAGGCAAATAAGTGATGGAAAGAATTCCAGGGAGGGGGTGATGGGGGACAGGGAATGAGGTGAGAGAGAGTGGTGGACAGAGCGGGGTGCTTTGGTTTGGCTGTTCCTGTCTTTGCAGAGGTGACCTCTGAGCCAGGAAGGTGTCCCAGGCAAAGGGAACAGCCAGGACGGACACCCCGAAGGGGGACTGAGCTGGTCATTTTCCACAAACAAGGTCAGCCTGCTGGGGTATGTTACCATGTAGCCCAGTCACTCCTGTTGTCCCCACTGCCTGCCAGCAGAGCCCCCTTGCTGACCTGTGGCTGGCCACAGATACACAAGAGAGCCCTTTTGAAGCACAAGAACTGCCCAGCTCAGCCTACTACATCAACCTGTAGATTAACGTGCTAAAAATTAATTGGCCTTTTGAACCATGAAGCTTTGGTATGGTTTGTTACACAGCAATAGCTAACCGATACATACAGAGGGCCTGAGGAGAGAGCAGGATAAAAAGCATCAATTATTATTATAATTAGTGATTCATGAGCTTCAAACTGATGAGAATTTGAATCATGGAAGAGACCCATGAACTCAGGTTGGTGGCCTTTTGTTTTTAAGACTTTATGCTTAAAAAAAAAAGGTAGAAGACAACACAAGAGGGGAGTGGGGGAGGGGGAAAGAGGGTGGGCTGGGAGGATGAAGGGAACCTCTCTAAATGTCGGATCTGGGTGACCCTCCTTCCCTGATGGCCCCAGCCCACCCCCAATCCCTTCTCTGTCCTAGGGGTGTGGGGGGGTACCCAGCTGCCATCTTCTGAACTCCCAGGCCCAGGATCTCAGCTCAGGTTCCAGGCAGAGGTGAGGGCAGAAGTGGGGCACAGGGCCTGGAGGCCTTGTCTTTGTCCTTGAGAGACCCTCGAGTGGGTGCTCAGGCCCCTCATGTCCCGGCAGGGCCCCAGGGAGGTAGGCATTGAGTTGGGGGGGCCATAGGAGGTGGGGTCCTGAAGCCAGAGGGCCAGGCGTCGACCAGAAGCAGGTATGAACCTGGCAGTCACAGTCCAGAGGTTGGGGTCTGTGGAAAGGAGAGGAGAGGCCAAGTCAGGAGATGGAGAGGGCGTTTGGACCTACATCAGGCCTTCTGCGCTGTCCCCACCAGCCCCACAGTGAGAGGGACACAGAGAGAGAGACAGAGACAGAGGCAGAGAATCAGAACAGAAATGAAGGGAAAGAGACAGACAGAGAGGAAAAAAAGACAAGGAGACAGTCAAGACAAAGAAAGAGATAAAGATAAGGAGGGCTTCCCTGGTGGCGCAGTGGTTAAGAATCCACCTACCAATGCAGGAGACACGGGTTCGAGCCCTAGTCCGGGAAGATCCCACATACCGCGGGGCAACTAAGCCCGTGTGCCACAACTACTGAGCCTGTGCTCTAGAGCCTGTGAGCCACAACTGCTGAGCCCTCATGTCACAACTACTGAAGCCTGCGCACCTAGAGCCTGTGCTCTGCAACGAGAAGCCACCACAATGAGAAGCCCATGCACCGCAACGAAGAGTAGCCCCCACTCGCTGCAACTAGAGAAAGTCAGCGTGCAGCAACAAAGACCCAACATAGCCAAAAATAAATAAATTAAAAAAAAAAAAGATAAGGCGAGAGGGACAGACAGAGCAGGATAGAGAAGAGACATGGAGATAATCAGAGATGGAGATGTGGAAAGAGAAAGAATGAGAGAGACAGAAATAAAGGGAGAGACAAAGAGGAAAAGGCAGGGATTGGGAGAGACAGAAAAGAGTGGGGAGAAAAGGCAGCTTGCTTGGGGAGCAGGATAAGAAGCTCCCTCCATCACTCTTGGTCCCAGAGGTCCCCTGACTCTGGACCAGGGCTCACCTGTCTGCAGTTGGTCAGGGCAGAGCTGAGACCCCCCAGGACCTGCCGGGCACTGAACAAACCTCTCCTCCCAGGCTCAGGCCTCCAGTGCTCTCCAAGCCTAAGCCCTTGCAGGTCTCCACTCTCATATCCCAGCCTTTCTGTGGGCCTTGATTTCATTACTCACCCATTTGACACACCAGCCTCAGCCCAGCCCAGTCCCTTTGTATGTCCGTGTGTGTGTAGTGAGGGACTGTCTTATAGCCTTTGCATATACTGTTCCTTCCTCTCCTGTCTCACTCCTCTTATTCTCCTGGTCTCAGCTCCAAAGTGCCCTCCTCCAGGAAGTCCTCTCTGAACACCCCAGCCTAGGCCCGATGCCCCCTCTGGGTTCTTCCAGTTCTTGGGTTCCCTCCTCCCAGCCCTGCCTACTGTAGGTCATTACTGTCTGGGGACACATCTGTCTCCCCCACTGGACTGTGAGCCTCATGGGCACAGGGCTGGGCTGTCATGGTCACTGCTGTGTCCCCATCACCACCCAGCACAGGGCTGGGCACACAGCTGCTCAGGGAATGTGTATGGAATGAATGAATGAACAGATGCCAAACCGAGGAGTCTGGACCTCATCCAATGGGCACTAGGGAGCCACAGAAGGGTTTTAATCCAAGGAGAGTCAAGATCTGATCTGTGGGGCTTCCCTGGTGGCGCAGTGGCTGAGAGTCCGCCTGCCGATGCAGGGGACACGGGTTCGTGCCCCGGTCCGGGAAGATCCCACATGCCGCGGAGTGGCTGGGCCTGTGAGCCATGGCCGCTGCTTTAGAAACTCCGGCAGCCTCTCAACCCTGGGCGTTTGCACATGCTGTTCCCTCTGCTTTTCTAAGCTGAGTGAACCTGCACAAGTGAACTCTTCTCTCCGAGCCTCAGTTTTCTTATCTGTAAAATGAAAATAATAATAGCTTCTCTCTTTTGGGGTTATTGTAAAGACTGAGAAGATACTCTAGACTGAAGACTTGGGAGAGTAAAAGAATGCACCCTGCTACCTTGCCCCCAACCTTCTGCCCAGTGGTCTCCTATTCATCCTTCAATGCCCTACCCAGAAGCCACTTCTTCTATAAAGTCTTCCCTGATATCTCAGAGATAGCTGATGATAGCTGTGTTTTATTGTTTGAACTGTTGGACTAGATTGCCATTGGTTTCTAATGTCCACTTCCTCATGAGCCCAGAATCTTCTCAAGAGCTGGACCCTACCTGAGGCATGTCAATGTATGTTTGGAAATGTATGTAATACGTGGATGGGTGGATGAGTGGGTGGGTAGGTAGGTGCGTGAATGCATGGGTAAGTTGACAAGTGGGTGGACATGTGGGTGGGGGGATCAATGTGGAGGTGGGTGAATGAGTGGGTAGCTGTATCTTCTGATGGATGAAGGGTGGTGGATACACACATGGATGGATCCATGGGTAGGCAGGTAGGTAGGTAGGTGGATGAATGCATGAATAGGAGGGTGGTTGTGTGGGTGGATGGATCAGTTTGGAGGTGGATGGATGAGTGGATAGGTGGGTGGATAGATGAATGAATGAGTGGCTGAATGTATGTTTGGATGGATGAGGGGGTTGGTGGATGACTGATGGATGGATAAATATATGTATGGGTGAATTGATGGATGGATGGATGGATTGGAGAACCCTCAGTTCAGAGACGCAGGCTGACCCTGCTCCGGGTGGGCTCACTGTTGGAGTCTGGAGGTCTTACGAGGGGTTGAGAATAGCACAGTCTCCAACCTAGTGCCCCTAGACCTAGGACACTCACATTTCTCCTGACTCCAGCCTCTATAAATAATGCCACTCTCCTTCTAAGTTCAAACTCATCCCCATTGATCCTGGAAGACAGAAGAGGAGTGTTAGTGGTCTTCACCAGACACCCCCATATGCCCCACTCCCCCTTCCTTCCCCAGGGGACTCCTCTATCAGGACAAACTGAGTCATCCTTTAAGAGGGTGCTGGTCCTTTAAGGAAAAGTGGAGCTTTCCAATGGGTGGTTGAAGCCTGGAAGAAGCAAACTCTGGGAGGAAAGGTGGGGACCAGGAAATCTGCATTTGCATCTTCGACTCCCCTTTTAAGCAAATGAAGCAAGGTATTTTTCAAGAACTTAATCCCAGAAGGTGGGGCACATTGTTTGGAGGAGGGGCTGGAGTGCTGGGGGTGTGGCTTAGTTAGGGGGCGGGGCTTACCTGGGGGCCTGACAGTCACTTGTGGCTGAGTCTCCGTGTAGGCCCCCATGGGCTGGCCCTCTGGGCTGAAGGCTGCACCCTGGCCTGCTAGGGGAGTTGACGGGTGCAGGCTGAGCCCCAGGATGCCCGGTTCAGGCTTTGATACTCCCCCGGGAACACTAGGCCCTCTCTTCCCACCTTCTCCCTGTACCTGTGCGGTTGGATTGATCGATCATTGGTTGCACGATGCGTCTCCGGGCGTTAATGAACCTGGGAGGGGGCCATGGAAACGGAGGAGGGTGCAGAGAGGGAGTAGAAGAGAGGCAGAAATGAATACACAGGGACAGAGAGAGAGCAGGCAAGAGAGGACGGATACAGGGGCGGCAAAGCAGAGGCAGGACGAAGAGAGGCTCCGAGGGGCTTTGGGGCCTCCTTCAGCACCGCGGACAGCGCTCGGCCTCCCACGCCGGGCTGGCCCACGGAGCGCCCAGGCCTCCGGTGTCACTCACCAGTTGTTGACTTGTAGGATGGTGAGCCCCGTGTCCTGGGACAGCTGTTTCTTCTGCTCCTCTGAGGGGTACGGGTGCTGTGGCCACCAGCAAGAGTCACCCTGCTTGCCTGGTTGCCCTCTGATCCCCCAGGCCTGGCCTGTCCAGGTCCCAGGGAGCTGGTGAGCCCAGGCTGAGGCAAGGCCGGGAGAGCTGGCGGCGTGTCTGAGCTTCTCCGTGTTCCCCGGGGCCCAATGGAGGGAGGCAGAGCCAAGCTTCGGGTAATTACACCGGTGGGTGTCCCCCAACCTCTTCCAGCAATTAGAGGCTAATTGGCCAGCTCTCATCAGGGAGGTGGAGCTGCGGGAGGGGGGAACTGGGGGAACTCCACCTCCCTGGGGAAAGGAGGCAAAGCCCAGCACCAGCCCTCTCTGAGTCCGATAGGTCCTTGTGCATGTCTCTCCCCGTCACAATCTCTATCTTTCTCTGTGTCTGTCTGTCTGTCTCTCCCCCAATGTGACTCAGTCTCCCCCTGTGTCTCTCTTGCTCTGACTCTGCTCTCCATAACTCCCCATCTCTAGCTTTGTTTCGGCCTCTCCCTGTCTGTCCTCCTGTCTCCCTGAGGCAGGGTGGTTTGCTGATTAAGGCCAGACTGCCTGCATTTGAACCCACTTCTGGCTGTGAGACCTCTGGGCCTCAGTCTCCTCATCTGCGAAATGGAGCTAACGACATCGCTGTCCTCATGGGGTATGTTTGGCTGGATGGTGGATGACTGATGGGTGGGTGACTGGATGGGAGGGTCTGGGGCGGGGGAGAGGACTGAATGAGTCCAGAGCCCTTAGTGGCACCTGGCACACAGGTAGTGCTCATGGATGTTTGCTCTTGTCAATCCCCATCTGCTTGAGAGTTTCCCTCAATATTTCCCTGCTGCCTCAGTCTCCCGTCTCTGGGTCTCTCTCCGGGCCTCAGTTTCTGTGCAGCCATCCTTCTCCATCTCTCTCTCTGCCCACCCCGCACCAGGGCCCCAGGGCTCTCACCGAGAGGTGCTGGAACAACCAGGCTCTCATGATGTTGGTGGCCACCTTGGGGAAGATCCCTCTCTTCTTGTTCTGCCGGCGCTCGTGGTCCAGCTCTTCGTCCTCTCCCCCAGAACTGGGAGAGGCCACATTTGTGTCTAGTCCATCTCCTGAGCAGGGAGAGGCATGCTGTGCTGTGGACGGGAAAGGTGGGGGACCAGAGGGACCCAGAACTTTCCCCCAAGGCACCACTCCACACCCCAGTCATCCTTGCCCCTCTGGAAGTCCTACCTGCTGTCTAACTTCAATCCTCAGACTGACTCCCACCTTTCCCCTCCACCTCTCAAGCTTCTCACCTTGGTCACTGGAGTTGTCACCACTCTGGGAGGCCAGGCCCCCGCTGGATGGACCCGGGGTCCCCAAATGTACAGACCCGCTGTCTTCTTGGTCTCTAATCCATGTAGTATTCTGGAAAATAAGAGTTGGAAGTCAGTGCCAAGGCTTGGGGTATAATATACTACAGTGGCTAAGACCACGGGCTCTGGAGCTAGGAGCCCTGAGTGTGAAGACTGTGTCTGCCTCTTTCCTGGCTGTGTGTGACCTTGGGCAAGTCACTTCACCTCTCTGTGCCTCAGTTTCCTCCACTGCAAAAATGGAGGACAACCATCCCCACCCCCTTCACAGAGTGTGGTAAGGATTCAGTGAGTTAATTTACGTAAAGGCACACGGCAGTCACTCAGGAAAGATGAGCTTGTACAGATCTCTGGCACCTGATCAGAAATCCCGGGAAGCCAGCGCTCTTTCAAAATTCAAAACTTTTCATATCTTTAGGCAGTGCACACGCCATTATTTCCTAACACCTCCACAGTGTCTGGGGCGTAACCTCGTCATCAAACTCATTAACATTTCTGCAGCAAAATGGATGAATATTTAACTAAGTGGAATAAATAAAGGCTGTAAATAGCCTCTCAGTTCAGGTCAGATTTTGCTGCCAAATAAATCTGCACTAAACTTATGGGGAAAAAAACACCAACTTCTAGTTTTCAGAGATTTGGTGGTCTCCAAATTGCAGATCAGGGAGTCGGGGGTTGTATTTTCTTTATCCAAACTCCTACACACTTTGAGGAACTTGACAATGTGTTGAATTCACCCCCTGCCCCAGCTGTGTCCCACGAAGCCTACCCACCTGCATAGATACATCATTTCTTTGTCATTTGGTTTAAGGTTCTTCAGTTGTTGGGAGGCAGACTGGGTGGAAGTGGGGATGGCAACAGCCGCCTGCTGTTGCTGAGCCCTGGGGTACACCCCTGCCCCTGGTGAATGTCCTAGACCCTGCCCTCTGCTTGGTAATTAGCCCCTCACCCCTGCAAATGGATGCATCATTTGTGTCCTTCCAGGGCTCAGCCTGAGACACGGCACCTTAGAGAAGCTTTCTCTGGGCTCAGAATATCTGTGTGCAATTTAGAGTTTGAGGGCTTTGGGGATGGGTTGTGTGCAAACGACAGAATCATGAGGTCTGAAGGCTTTTGAGCACTGCTGGAACTGTCACCCTGCCCTTCTGGCATTGGATCTGATCGGATGAGCGTCCACGTCAGTGTACCTGAAGCTGTCCTGAGACTGTCATGCAGCACGTAAGTGTGAATGTGCTTACGTCCGTGCCCGACAAGGCAAGGTTGTCCCTGGAGAAGAGGTGTCACGTGGGCAGAGCTAAGACACGCAGCCGTATTTGAGCGTGGTTGTGTCACTCTCTCAACCGGCCAGGTGGCTATACCTGGCAAATGCAAGGCTACGTTTATTTTTCTAAGCTTGTGGCTGTAGTTCTAGGGGTTGGGGTCCTATTTGGGAGACAGTGTGTGGTTATCCTGAGTCCTGCATGAGTGGGCAGGCAGCTCCGTGATTCTTTGGCGGGGGACGATGGCCAGAGGGGTGTGTTGGCAGCTGTGTGAAGATATAGAATATGGCTACGCCTCCGAGGGAGTTGTAACTGATCAGCACACGCACGTGGTGCTACTGAGCGGGTGCATAATACGGGTGTGGGGCAGAGGGTCCCTGAGGCTCATCTGTGACTGCTGTGTGCGCGTGCTCCAGTCTGCGTGGTCGTGGTATGGCCACGTGCCTGTATTTGGGTGTGGGTGTCATGTTGTATAATTGCTGCGTTGATAGCGTGACCGCCTTGTGGGTATGGGCCTCACTGGGATCCGCACAGCTGTTGTGTGATTGTTGCCTGGGTGCCTAAGTCTATGAAACTATAGTCTGATTGTATCTGAGACTGAATGAATCTGGGGCCACGTGGCCATTGAGTGGCAAGGTGTGTGCCCACACCTACAGCAGTCCAATTGTTAAGAGGTTAGGGTAGGACTTCCCTGGTGGCGCAGTGGTTAAGAATCTGCCTGCCAATGCAGGGGACACGGGTTCAAGCCCTGGTCTGGGAAGATCCCACATGCCGTGGAGCAACTAAGCCCGTGCGCCACAACTACTGAAGCCTGCGCGCCTAGAGCCCGTGCTCCGCAACAAGAGAAGCCACTGCAGTGAGAAGCCCGTGCACTGCAAGGAAGAGTAGCCCCCGCTCGCCGCAACTAGAGAAAGCCTGCATGCAGCAACGAAGACTCAATGCAGCCAAAAATAAAGAAATAAATTTATAAAAAAGAAAAAGAGGTTAGGGTAGCTTGTGTGTGTGTGTGTGCGCGCGCGTGTGTGTGTGTGTGTGTGTGTGTGCGCGCGCAGGCACTGTGGTTGCTCTGGGTCTAAGTGTGGCTGTAGCTGAGTTTATGTTGTAGGATCTGGGGCCATTTGGCTCCATCTCCAGCTGGGTGGCTGTTACGTTGTTGAGGTGTGTGTACTACACACACACACACACACACACACACACACACACTCTCTCTCTCTCTCTCTCTCTCTCTCTAGAACGGCACTGTCTCAGTCAAACTGTGTGATCTATGATGCTATTATGCCATTGGGCTGTGAGTGTTTAAGTATGTGGCATATGCTATCACCTTACTGTGAGCGTAATGGGTTTTGTGGCTGTCTGTGAACCTATGTGGGTGTAGCCAAGTCTCTGTGTGGCATCTGCAGCTGTTGGGGTGTGTATGCGTCCTGTCATCCAGCTGTATTGCAGTCTGTGTGGCTGTTGCATAGTTGGTGCCTGTCCTGTGGTCAGGCCATGTCTGACTGTGGCTGTCTCAGGCTGTGTGGTGTGTTGTGTGTGCCCTGATACTGGAACCCAGCTCTCTGGGCATGCCTTTGGTTTCAGGGCAATGCCTGTCGCCCCATCCTGGGGCCCACCTGATCTGGGAGGCTCGGGCAGGAGGCCGGGTAGTCGTTGAGATCCTCCCTGCAGCCGCCGTCCCGATCCTCGATGACCAGGTCGATGGGCATCTTTCCCTTGAGGCAGGTGATGTAGCGGTGACAGAAGTTGTCGCACAGGTCGTGGACCTGAGGGGGCACCGGGGTACTGGGGGGGCCACCCGGGGGCCAGGGCTGGGGTGTATAGGGATGGGGGTGGCCTTCTGCTCCAACTCTGGTGGGGAGAGAGCCTGAAGGAGGGGTGGAGGGGGCAAGAAGGGAAGGGATGGGGGGCAAGTGAGGGCGTGAGGGGAAGTGAGGAGCACTCACCTTCTCCAGCTCCAGCAGGTGGAAACGGAGCACTTGAATGGCTTGTATCATCTGAAAACAGAGACACAAGAGGGGAGGGAGAGAGGGAGCGAGGGAGCGAGACAGAGAAGAAGGAAGAGGAGAAGGCGAAAAAAGAGAAGAAGGAGGAGGAGGAGGAGAAGAGGAAGAAGAAGAGGAAGAAGGAGAAGGAGAAGAAGGAGAAGGAGAAGGAGGAGGAGGAGGAGGAGGAGGAGGAGGAGAAGGAGGAGAAGGAGGAGAAGGAGGAGAAGGAGGAGTAGGAGAAGGAGGAGGAGGAGGAGGAGGAGGAGGAGAAGAAGATGAAGGGGAGGAGGAAGAAGAAGAGAGAGAAACAGAAAAAGTGCATTGGATGACAAACAGAAAAAAGAGTGCAAAGAGAAACAAAGACAAAACGACAGGGGCAGAGAGAAATAGAGAACAGAGATGGAGACCCAGAATTAAGGAACAAGGGAGTGTGAGATTGAGATCAGAGACAAAGAAAGAGAAGCAAGAGGTGCAAGAGACAGAAGAGGACCCATCACAAGAAGAGTGAGCTAAGGTATGCTCTGATAATAGCACCACATCCTTTGCCTGCTTGCCCTTGGATCCATTTCCCACCCTTCACCTGAAAACTACATTTCCCAGAGCCCTTTGCCAAAGGGTTCAGCCAATAGGAAGCTCTGGTGGGAGCTGGAAAGCAAAAGGAAGGGACAAGTCGGGGTATTTCTCCCTCTCTCTCCCTCTCCTCCTTCTCTTCCCTTTCTCCCTCTTCTCTCTCCTCTCCTCTCTCCTTTACAGCTAACTGCTTTTATTCATTTTGATGTGAGCCCTGTTCTGACTGATAGAACAGCAAACACTTAATGAGTCCCCATTCAGTGCCAGGCATTGTGCTACAGGCTTGACTCTCTTTAACTCATTATACACTCGCAACAGCCCTACAAGATAGAAATTATTACTAGCTACACTTTACAGATGAGGAAAACGGGGCCCAGGGAGCTGGAACTACCTGCCCTGGTTCTTAGAACTAGTAAGTAGAGAGCTGGGATTCGAACTCAGGCCATCGAGTCCCTGTTCTCAAACTCTAGGCTACACTGCATTGCAAATGGGCAACAATGATCACTATTTGAGGACGTGGGCCAGGCGGTCTCCTCTTTGCTCCCACAACCAATCCCAGGGCTATGGAGAGTGGAACAGGAGACCCCCTTGGAGGAGAAGGAGTTGGGGAGGGCCCAGGTCTCACCAGATTGTCCAGCTCCGGGTTGGAGGAGAAGAGAGGCCTCTCGGAGCGGACCTGGGAGAAAGAGAGAGGCCAGGGAGGGCACATCCTGTCTCCTGCCCACCCCACTTCACTGGTTCTCCTGGCGCACAGCGGATGGTGGGTGCCCACCTGCTTGGCAAAGGCTGCGATGTCCTCATTGAAGGAATCGGAGGAGCATACATCACTGCCTGGGGGTGTGCCCAGCCCAGTCCCAGCCCCATCACGGGGAGAACACGTGGCCAATTCACATTTCTCAAAGACCAGGGCCAGCAGCGGGAAGAGCGGGTGTCTGGGGAAAGCAGGGGGTGAGAGTTCACGAGGGGAGGGCAGGGGGGCTGGGAAATATGGCGCAACCGGGAGGTGGAGAGGAGACCCAGAGGGAAGAGGTGGAGAGATAGAGACAGAGTGAGACAGAGTCAGAGAAGAGAAACATATCCAGAGAGACAAAGAAACAGGGCGGGGGCACATCCCGAGACCCCATGGAGCCCTCAGCCTTGTCCCCACTCACCCGTAGATCTCATCCTTCTCCCTCCTCAGGCCATCACTATCCAAGCCCAGGGGCGGGGGCTGGGGAGGCCGGTGGGGGCCGTAGGGCCCGGGGGCTCTCGGTGCCGAGGGCACTGCCTCCGAGAAGCCAGCCAGGGCTGCAGTGCTGTCCACGATGCCGGGGTAGTGGGGCAGCTCATCGTACTGGGTGGGGGGAGGTGAGAGGGGAAGAGCCCCAGGGACGTGTCAGCACCAACAAGAAACCTCCCTACCCTCGCACCCAGGAAATGCCCCCTCCTTGCCCCAGTCACCTGCCCTACTGTCCCCAAGTGTCCCAGCCTTGCTCCCTTAGGCCCCCGATGTCCCATGGAGCTGTCTGGGTGGGACTGAAGGCCCTGTCCTCAAGCCTTCCTTTGGACCCATGGACTGTGAAAAATGTCCCGTCAGAGATTCCCAGTGTGTGGGCAGGAGGGTCCAGGGGAGAGAGACTGACCCAGGTCTTGGATCTGAGGGTCAGGGTTGGGGGGGGTCAAGGATTGGCTGGCTGGTAACTGCTAGCTTCTCACAGAGAGTTAGGGGAGAGAGATTCAGAGAGAGGGAGAGAGATGTGAGAGAAGAGAGAGACTGGGAGGGAGATGCAAGAGAAAGACAGAGGGAAGGAGAGATTAGAGGGAGGGAGAGAAATGGTGAGAGAGACAAAAAAGGTGGAGAAAGAGACAAGAGATAAAGAGAGATGTAGAGTCAGAGGGAAGAGCAGAGAGGGAGAGAGACACACACAGGGAGAAGATACAGGAGAAACAGGCAAAGGGAGACAGGGTACAGAGAGAGAGAGAGAGAGAGAGAGAGAGAGAGAGGGAGGCAGAGACAGAGACAGAGAAGGGGAGAGAGAGGAGGGGAGAGAAATCGATTCTCGCTCCTGGGCACTGCCCATCAAAGCAGTTCATTGTTTGTACACAAATGTACACATACAGCCTCCCCCGCTTCAATTTCATTTCACAGATGAATATGCACGTCTGAGTGCATCTTAACTTGTCACACTCCACTCCCCACGTGGACCCACCACACACGCGCGCACACACACACAGCCAGAAGCCAGGCGCAGGAATGAATGAGTGGGTGAATGAATCAGTGCGTGAGACATTTAGCACAGTGCCTGGCGCACAGTCAATCAACACTTGTTGAACCAAAGTATAACCCGGCTCAACCACACCAACGCACTTGTGCCAACAGCCCCAAAGAGAAATCACGCGAGAGATTTCTGTGTCCTGTCATCACAGAAGCACGCGCACCGGTGAAGCCAGGGGACCTTTATGTCACCCACGTCCAATCCTTTCCTCGGAGATGAAGAAACTGAGGTTCAAAGAGGCAAAGGGACTGGAGAGGGGGAGGTACCAGTGTTCCTGCCATAGCGGGTGTGTGCACGGAGGGCTCTGAGTGTGTGCACGGAGGGCTCTGAGTGTGTGTGTGTGTCTTTCCTTTTCTCCTAACTTCTCCTGAGCACTGAAGTTAAATCCAACTGCCCCCCCCCCCCGTTCCTCCCACAATCCAGGGTGGCCCCCAATCCCTGCGGTATTCCTGCCCCCCTCCACCCCCAAGGGTGCCTGCTCACCTCTTCGCCTGTCTCTCCAACCCCAGGACAGTGGAAGAGAATCCCTTGGCCCTGCCTGGTGAGACCCACCTCTCCCAGCACTGTCCCCACGCCTAACCCTCTGGAGGACATGGAACAAAAGTAGACCAGGGAGAAGAATAGGGGAGGGACGAAAAAGAAGGCGGGGGGGTAGGATAAAGGGCCTGAGATGGAGGGGAGACCAGGGGCAGAGAGGGGAGACTGAGGGGCAGAGAGAGGGGAGACCCGGGGTTAGGAAGAGGGGAGATTCAGGGGCAGCGAGAGGGGAGGCAGAGAAAGAGATGGTGGAGAGAGCGGGATGGGCTGATGGGGGCCAGAGCTCCCCAGGGAGGAGATGGAAGGATGGGGGATGCGACCACCGGCCGGGGCACAGGATCGTCCGCCCTCAGACCTACCCTCCGGGCCATGGGCTGATGCCGGCGGCAGCTCCCGGGTCCCTCCAGGGCCTGGCCGGCGGGGAGGGCGCAGCCAGGGGCAGCGGCCCCAGATGGCCCGAGGGGCCGACGCCAGGGGGTGGGGCAGGAGGCTGGGTGCCCGGCCCCCCCACCCCCACCGCCGTCAGCGGCAGGCGCCGGGCCGTACGGAGGCTCCGAGCATGGACCCCCAGCCTCCTGCCCCCGCGGGGGTCACAGCTAGGGGCTCCTGCCAGCGAGGGCAGGGGCGAGAAGGCGGGGGAGGGCCGCCCGAGGCCCCCTCCCCGGGGCCCCCAGTCCCTCCCCCGGGTCCTGGGAGGATGGAACCAGCCCGAGATCCACAGACCGAGAGGCGGGGGAGAGGGGGGCGCGAGGGGGCCCGGCCCGGGGGGCGGGCGGCGGGCGGCGGCTCCCAGCGCGGTGCGGGGTCCCGGCGTTGGCGGGCCGGAGGGATGCTGGCGGCTCCGTCTCTCCCTCTCTCCCCCTCTCCCCCTCTCCCGGTCTCTCCCTCTCTCTGTGGTCACATCCGGAAGTTCCACAGCGGAGATGCTTAACCCACTGTCCGCCGGCGGCTCGGCCGCTGGAGGGGCGGGGCGGGGCGGGGCGGGGCGGGAGCGCCCGGAGCCCCTCCCCTCCCGTCGCCCTCCCCACTCCCGGGGGCTGCGGCCGCTCTCGGGGGCGGTTTTTTGTATGGGAGTCTCGCAGCGTCTGGTCTGCCTCGGTCCCCACCCCTCCTGCCTTCCTCTCTACACGTCGCGCGCTCGGGTCTTCTACGCCTGTCCCCCTCCCGGCCGCCCCAGGTCCCTGTCTCTCTCTCTCTCTCTCCCCGCTTTCCTCCTCCTTTCCACCCGACCCCGTCTCTCTCTCTCTCCATCTCCCTGCTTCCCTTTTTTCGCTAGGTCTTCGAGTCTCTCTCTCTCCATTTCTTTCTCTCTTTTTCTCTCTGTCTCTGTGTCTGTGTCTCTCTCCCATCCTCTGCTCCCCACAGCTCTGCCCCGCTCCTGGCCGCCCACGCTCCCAGTCAGGCCCTCTGATCAGTGCCTCTCCCCCTCCTCCTTCCCCTGTTCTCTCTCTCTCTCTCTCTCTCTGACTGGGAGACAGCTCAGAGGAGAACCAGAGGCTGGAAGTAACCAAACCCTATGATGTACTTTCTCTTCCTTCTCCAGCCCCGCCCCCCCCCAACTTCCCACCCCGGGAGACAGGGACACTTGTGCGCTTGCCTGAAGCCATCTGTGTGTGTGTGTGTGTGTGTGTGTGTCCCCAGCTGTGTCTGTCTGTGTGTCTGGTTGTTGGATCATGCCTGGTGTGGGTGTGTTGTTTCTGTTTCTGAATATAGTGGGTGTGTAAGTGGTGTGTGTGCGCACGCATGCGCGCACATGCCTGGAAATACCACTCTGCCCCTCTGCCAATGTTTCACCTTTGCCTTTTGGAAGTTTCTTAGCCTGAAACCCCCTCAACAGCTCTCAGGGAGTTTGTGATGGCATCTCCAAAATTGAGGGTAAACGATGTGCCTGGTTACACATCTGCTGGAGAGCAGGTTCACAGCTTTGACCTGATTCCCGGAGGAGCCTGGGACCCAGGCAGCCTTTGAAACTGGCGTTCTAATGAAAGAAAGATTTCCGCAACAAAAGTGTATTGAGTGCCTACTGTGTGTTGGGTAACGTTCTGGAGATGTAGCAGGGAACAAAAGACAACCGTTCCTGGTCTCCTGGTGCTCACATGCTACTGGGGATGGTGTGGGGGAGAGAGATTTGTCCGGTAAATAAATGTGTAAGTGTAAAATCATGCCTGGAGGTGATAAGTGCTCTGAGACGAAGCAGAATAAGGACAGGGGGATGACAAAAGCTGGACAGGGCAAGTTCTCAGAGGAGGTGACATCTGAGCAGAGACCAGAAGGAGGGGAGGGAGGGAGCCACATGGATGTCTGGGGAAGATCATTCCAGGCAGAGGAGTGGCAGGTGCAAAGGCCCTGGGGCAGGAATGTTTTGGAGGCCAGCAAGGGCAGGAGAGGGCATGGGGCTGGGGGGAGGGAGGTTGATACCCCTGGGATTCCTTCTCTCACTGGTTTTTCTACAGTAGTGTCTTTAGCCTCTGGTGGCCGCAGATTCCCAAGGGGATGTATAAGTGGGTATCAAGAGGCCTGTGAACTCCATCAGGTTGCCTGGCAAATTATGGTCTTGGTGCTTATGTGTTTTCTTTAGGGAGATGGCCCAGAGTTTTCATCCTATGATCAAAAAGGATACTTGACCCCCCAAAAGTTACAAACCATCACCCCAGAGTAAGAGCTCCAGAGAGAAATGAGACAGAGATCCAGAGAGAAAGGGACAGAAATTGGAGGAGGGGACAAAGACCCAGAGAAAGGAGGGCAGAGATGGGAGGGGGAGACAGAGTCAGAGAGAGAGAGAGAGAGAGAGAGAGAGAGAGAGAGAGAGAGAGGGAGGGAGGGAGGGAGGGAGGGAGGGGGGGAGGGAGGGGGAGAGGGGGGGGGGGGGGGGGGGGGGGGGAGGGAGGGAGAGAGAGAGAGAGAGAGAGAGAGAGAGCTGCAAGCCGTACACCCACCCCTGCTGGGCTCTCTAAGGTTATGTTTATGACCCTCATAAACAGCTCCACCTCACCCCACCCTGCTGCTCTTACCTCCTCCCAGCTTGTGGACCTTAAGCCAAACCACCCAGGCCAGGTAAGCGGGTGAGAGAGCTGCAGCTACAGCATGACGGACTGAGGTTAGGACAGCAGCGGCACTTCCCAGAGGGAGAGGGCAAGCTGGAGGGCTCTGGCTGAGGGCGAGGATGATGGCCCTGGTCCCCCTCAGGCCTGGGGAAGGCTGTTCCTCGTCCAGCCAGGATTCAGCGTCACCTCCAGCCCACACCCCCATCTCTGTCTCTCCCTGGATCGCTTTCTCGCCGGTCCTCACTCTCTCTGTCTCATCCAGGATCTCCATCCCTGTCTTTCTCTGTGTCCCTGACTCTTGTCCTCGGACCCCCCCTCGGCACACCACCAACCTTCCTTCCTGGCTATGCCTGGGTCTCCTCCAGGAATCTGGGGTCCAGACCCACCTCAGACCAATTCTTCCTTCCCTAAGCCTCAATCTCCCCGTCAGCTGGATGAGCCTTGGGCCTGAGGAGTGAGGAGTGATGGCGAAATGGTTAAGCTGGTAAGTGCCAGGACTCTGGGCACCTTGTCTGAGTCCGGTGTCCTCAAGCCAAAGGGTGCTCCCCCTGAAACTTTCCCACGCACTGTCATGCGGGTGACGCTGGCCCTTTAAGGCAGGCGGAGGGGCAGGGGAGAGCCTTTAATCACTGCCACACACACCCCGCCCCCCAGATAAGGGTTTTGGGGTTTTGGAGCAGAAAATTTATTTAAATAACTTTTTAATTAAAGATGCAAAGCTTTTCTGGGTGCACCCCCTCCGCTCCCAGCCGAGGCTTAGGGTGCGGGAGCCAGGGGTCTGGGCCCCCAGCCTCTCTTTGGGTCTTGGGGGATGTGTGTTGAGGTCCCCTGGCCCAAGCTGATTCTGAAAACAAGGAGGGTGGCCTGATCTGATGGGGGGGGCAGGGGGCGGTAAGTGGATGGAGGGGAGGAACCAGCTGTGTCTTAACTGGGTGGCGGCCTTGGTGAAGCCAATGGGGCAGGGCGGCCGGGGAAAGGCAGAAACAGTGGCGCAAAGAGGGAAAGAAGGAAAGGGGGTCAGACTGAGGCCCAGAGCGAGCCGGACAGAGGAGGGGGTCGGGGGGAGAGGGAGGGAGAGACAGAGGCAGAGAAGACAGGAGACAGAGACCAGAGTTACTCCTTGCATCACTCAGCCCCCAAACAAGGAGGAGGGGCTTGAACTCTTGGGCATAAATCTTTTTAATTAAAGAGAAGAGCAAGGGGAAAGCAGGAGTGTCTGTGAGAGAACCTGCTGGGGAAGGCAAGATACTGGAGGGAGGAGGCAGGAAGCTGGTTTTCTCACTCCTGCTGCCTCCATTCTGTCTGACACACACACAGACACACCCTGGCCTGTCTCTCTCAGACCTCAGGCCTCCTCTGCAGAGCTGGTTTCCCCCAGCGTGGCCACCAACCTCTCAGTGGCTGGGCAGGACCCTGTTGCTCTCTTCGGCCCCCCCACAGGGGCTGTGCCCACCAGGGAGCGGCGACCCCCAGGGAACCCCAGGGGTCCCCAGGGTCTGCGCTCCGAGGCTGTGGGAGCCGAGGGAGCGAGCGAGGACCAGCTCAGGGCCTCCCATCTTCCCTCGTGGGCCTGCGAGCTCTCCACCTCAGTTTCCTCTCTTTCTCATCAGCTGCGTTCGCCTCGCCCTCCTCCCCCACTCCTAGTCTCTCTCCAAGGGTCTGTATCTCAGGGGTGGGGAAAGTGGATCCTACACGAGGGGGCCTCTGTGTCTCTGTTTCGGTCTTGGGTGTCTGTCTTTCCAGCTGTTTGCCTCATGTGTCTCTCCCTCTATATTTTTGTCTCTCTATCTCTGTGTCTCTCTTTCCCTGGGCGATCTCTCTGTGTCTCTGTCTCCATCTCTCTCTCTCTCTCACTCCCAGTCTCTCCCCTTCTCTTTGTCTCAGACCTCCCTCCCTCCCCCACCTCCAGTCCGTCCCTGGGGACCTGTGTCTCGGCCTTTGTCTCTCCACCTCTCTGCACCCTCATCCCCGTCCAAGCCCTCCTCCACCCGGCTGCCCAGGCCTTTCATAGATGCATCGCACCAAATCCCCAGTTCCTTCCCCTGTGCCTGGCCCGGCCCCAGGAGAAGGAAGCATTTATGCTGGTGGGCCCCCTCTCCTCCGCTCCCGGGCCCGGCCCTCCGCCTGCCGCGCAGGCCCATCCAGCACCAGAGCTGGTGACTCCGGAGGCTCATTTGTCACCCGCTGCCTGCCGCCCCACCAGGCAATCGTACCATTAGCCATGGCTGGCCAGAGGCCACCGGGAGGACCGGGCCTGACGCGGGCGGAGGAGGGGCACAGGGCCGCACTCCCCACCCACTTCCCGTCTCTCCGGCCTCTCTCTCCTTTTTCTCCGCATCTGCCTCCCTGTCTCCTTTCTGGGTCTCCCCTCTTCACTCCTCTTGCTGCCTATCCCCTCACCCCACCCCCATTCCTCTTTCACTGTGTCCCTCCTTGTCTTGGGTGTGTGTGTGTCTGTCCATCCATCCGTCTGTCTCATGTGTCTCTCCCTCCATCTTTTTCTCTCTCTCTGTCTCCATCTCTCTCTCTCTCTCTGTCTCTCCCCCCTTCCCCTCCCCATCTCTCTCTATCTCTGGGGACCTCTTTCTCTCCTGTCTGTCTCTGTTGCCCTCCCCCCACCCGATATTTTGTTCTGGACGCCCTCCCTTCTCTCCTGACCCCAGCTGCCCCTTTTCAATCCATCATCCTAGACGTTTCCTTCCCTCCCCACCCAGGGGGAGAAAATTGCTGGGAGAGGGCAGGGGGAGGAGGACGGGTACCCTGGGAGGCCCGTCCCTTCTCCCCCCACCGCCAGCCCTGAGTGCCTGGAAGTCCTCCCTAGAGTCTGACTTCAGTCCTCAGGGAGACAGCAGGATGCAGATGAGGTGCCAGGAGCAAGCCCTCCCTGTTCCCTGGAGGGACAAGAAGCTCTGTGCTCCCAGGGGCGAGGCAGGGAGAAGGGGGCTGGGGGGCGTGGGGCAAGCGGAGGGGGAGACCTGGGCACCGTTGTGCCTCCCCTCGTTCCTTGGTGCCCACAGATTTTCCCACGGGAACAGGGATGCCCCATTCACACCCCTCTGACCCAATAGCAGTCCCCACGCCACCGCCTGGGACGCCCCCCACTGAATGAAGCGGCCGGGGGTTAGTAAATAAACGCCCCAATTTCTTCA